AGCAAGGCTGATTCTTTCCACAGGCTCTGAGGGACAGTCTGTTCCTGCCGCTCACCCAGCTTCTGGTGGCTGCAGACAATCCTTGCTGTTCCTTGAGTGGCAGCTGCATCACTGCGTTCTCGGCTCGTGTCATCGCATGGTGTTTTCCCTTCATGTCTCTCCTCCTGTAAGGACACTAGTCCTTGGATTTAAGGCCCACCCTAATCCAGTATGTTCTCAGCTTAACTAATTATGTCTGCAAACACCCTGTTTCCAAATAAGGTCACACTTCGGGATTCCAGGTGGACCTGAGTTTGGGGGACACTATTCAATCCAGTGCACTAGAGCATGCTAAGTTGCTTCAGTTGTGTTCAACTCTTTGCGAACCCATGGACTGTAGACTGCTAGGCTCCTCTGTCTATGGAATTTTCCAGGCAAGAATACAGGAGTGACTTGTGATGTCCTTCTCCAGGGGATCTTCCTGACCCAGGGACCGAACCCACATCTCTTATGTCTTCTGCATTGGCAGGCAGGTTCTTTACCACCTGGGAAGCCACAATCCAGTGTTCTAGGGAAAGGCAAATATATAAGACACAAAAATGATGACTTCACTTCTGTCACACTGGCAAAAATGTTAATGTCTCTATCCTGGGTTGTATTCTCCAGAGTAGGTGAAGTTTAGGGGACAGGATGCTTACTGGGGATCACTTCCTGTGAGAGGAACCAGACAGAAGTAGGATTGGGCAGAGAGAGAAATCAGCTGTAATGCAGGCCTTGCAGAACTTCCATCAGTTTGGTGAAGTGAATACGGCCCCTCCGCGTGTCCTTCATGGGGCTGAAGTGGCTGGACCTTACATCCCTAGAAGGGCAGACCCTTGGGAGAGATGCTCTCTGCAGCTGAGGTGGACCCTGAAGGAGTGGACAGCTGGAGGCCAGCAGCTGAGGAAGCAGTAAGTCCTTCCTCGCAGGATATTCTGGTTGCACACACTCGCTACCACAGTCTGACAGTACAGAAATGGTCAAAATGAAGAGTGTGGTAGGAAAAAAAACTCATCTTCCAGCCCCCCGCCCCCCACCCCCCGCCGAGATGTCCACATCAAATGACTGGAACCTATGGATATGACTTTGTTTGAAAAAAGAGTCTTTGCAGATGTGATTAAGTAAGGCCATCCTGGATTATCTGGGTGGACCCTACATACTCTCCCAAGTATTCTTTTTTGGGGGGTGCTGTGCTGGCTCTTTGTTGCTGCCCCCGGGCTTTCTCTAGTTTCAGCAATCAGGGGCTTCCCTCTAGCTATGATGCACAGGCTTCTTTCTGTGGTGGCTTCTCTTGTTTCGGAGAACCGGCTCTAGGGTCTGGGCTTCAGCAGGTGTGGCACACGGACTTAGCTGCTTCATGGAAATCTGGGAATCCAACCTGTGTCTTCTGCAATAGCCAGTGAATTCTTAACCATTGGGCCACCAGGGAAGTCCCTCTCCCAAGTATTCTTATAAAAGAGAGATAGAGATTAGACAACATGGAAGAGGGGAAGGTGACCTGAGGATGAAGGAGACAGAGATGGGAGTGATGTGGCTGCAAGCCAGGGAATGCCTACAGGCACCAGAAGCTGGAGGAGGCAAGGAACGGACTGTCCCTGGAGACTCGAGAGTGATCATGACCCTGCTAAGAACTTGGTCTTGGCCAGTGAAACTGATTTTGGAATTCTGACCTCCAGAAATTTTAGAGAATACATTTCTGTTGTTTAAATCTATCGAGTCTGTAGTAATGTGTTACAGCAGCCACAGAACTAATTAGCCAGGGAACTAATACAAAGAGTAATAGGAAAATTGCTGGTGGGGATGCAAGTTGGTGAGCCCACTCGGAGGCTCTATCTTAGGGTGCAGTGAGGATTCAGAGTTCTAAGTATTTGCACAGTCCGCATGAATACTGGCTGCTCATATTCCCACTGCCCACTGAGGTCTCCTGGAAGGAGAGCAACGGCAGCCCCTCCAGTGGCAACCTCAATACCCCCTTCAGACCTGCCCTGCCCTCTTCCCGGCTGCACCTGGTATAGCTTCTGGAAACCAGTCTATGGCCTTGTCCCACTTGCCTCTCAACCAGGCTGGCCACCCCCCGACTCTCTCATCTCCTGGCCTTCCAGGGGAAGGGGAGTGCTGAGGAGGATGGCAGGCCCTCCCTTCTCCCTGCTTTGGGAAATAAATATCCCTGGAGCCTAGATCTACCCTCTGGGCAGAGGTCAACAAACTAGGAATGATCTTTCAGGCCAGATTAGATCTGCAACCCAATGGGGCACCCTGGCTGCGTGTCTAACAGGGCACCAAGGTCCTTGAGACTCCCTTAGGTGTATTTTAACTTGCTTGACCCAACAAGGACACATTTCTGAAAACTTGCACATTTCATGTTCGTGTTTGAAATATCACACTTGAAGCTAGTTTTAAGAAGGTGTGTTAAAAGGTGGAAAATTCTAGAAAACAATACAGCAGCCTTGTGGGGGTGATCTGTTTAAGGGATAGTCATAGTTTATAGCCTTATCTCAAACTCCCCTCCCAACCCTGCTCCTCCCAGAAATAAACCTACCAAAGGTCAGGGGTTGGGCCTAACTTCCCAGGCTGGTCCCTCCCAGGATGGGGAGCTGGGGCGGGCCTCTGCTCCTGTACCTGGCCCTGCTGGCCTCCTCTGAAGGGCAGGTCACGTAGGCATCCGCTTAAATCCCACCCACTGGGGTGCCTCCTCCAGAGTGGAGCTGAGAGAACAGAATTCTGCCCCCTCTGGATCCCACACGTCAGAAAGGCCTGGATTTTGAAGCAGGGTGGTGTGGGGTGAGACGGGGGAAGGGAGTGAATGTTTTCAGCACAAGCCCCTTCCTCCTGTACAGATGGAAACAGTGTCCTGACCCTTGGTTACAGTCCCCAGGCTAATGCTCATCCCATCATCCTTCTACTGTTTTCCCAACACCTCAGTTAAGTTTTTAGCCTCTTCGGTATCTTCTGGACTGGACACTGACTCTCAACCAGGCTTTCGGAGAAAGTGACAGATCTAGAAATCTTCCTGGGACAGCTGTGTATACCTCTCACGAGAGTCAGGAGAACCTTACAAAATATTATCCTTAATTCTCATAGATCCCCAGGGAGCTGATAACATATCAGCAAGTGTGCTGTAGCTAAAACCACCAGAAGTGAAATAAATGGGTTTTCTCTCACATTTACCTGGGACAGGTGGCTGCATTAAGAATTTCTTGAAGACAATACTTATATTTCTTATTTGTATTTTAAAGTTTGCATTAAGTACTAACTATATGCCAGGTCTGTATCAGTGACAGACCACTCTGGGCTCAAGGAGCTAACGTTCTTTTTTTTTTAACTTTTTATTTTATATTGGAGTATAACTGACTAATAATGTTGTAACAGTTTCCGGTGGACAGCAAAGGAACTCAACCATATATACATATATATACGCACACACACATGCATCCATTCTCCCCCAAACTTCCCTCCCATCCAGGCTGCCGCATCACCTTGAGCAGAGTTCCCTGTATTGTGCAACAGGTTCTTATTGGTTACCCATTTAAAATAAATATAGTGTGTACATGTCAATCCAAACTCCCTAACTATCCTTTCCCCTCATCCTCTTCCTTCTCTAAGTCTGTGAGTCTGTTCTGTAAATAAGTTCATTTGTTTCATTTCTTTTTAGATTCTACATATAAGGGATATCATAGGATATTTCTCTCAAGGAGCTAACATTCTCTAAGGGAGACAAATGCGTGACTGGATCATTACATTACTATATATGTATATGTGTGTATGTACACACTTAATCAATCATGGCATATGGCATGTTAAATAGAAGCATGTGAGTAAGCCCAGTAAGAGTAAGACAATTCTCGGGGGAGTAGGGGGCATAATAATTTAGGCCTTGAAGGATGAATAGGAGTTTGTCTTGGTTTACTAGGGGGTGGGGAGACGATTTCTAATCTCGTCCTCTTAGACAGCTTCCTTACTCAGGAAGGTAGGCAGAGAAAGGCCTTGTGTGCACGCTCAGGGAGAGTTTGGAAGAGAAAGTGCAGACTAGGAGGGCCGGGCCACGTGGGTTCCATCGTGGACCATGGGGAGCCTCTGCAGGACTGCCCACCTGAAGCCCAGGGACACAGGGGCTGTTTAGGATGGAGGCAAACACGAACTCCAGAGGCCGTGAGAAGCTGAACCATGTCGGCTCAGTGCTGAAGATGTGGGCAGGTTTGAGTGTTGGTAGTTAGAATTTAGACTGTAACTTGGAGGGAGTGCCAAGGATGGGGAATTATATGCTTTTCCTCTAGCCAGTGCCCACCCCCAACCCCACCCCCACCTCCGGATCTCCTCGGTCCTGGAATGGGACACAGTCCATGGCGGAAGGCAGAATTTCAAGGTCTTTGAAGACTGCTTCTAAACAAGGGAGGAGGGGATGTAGACACTTGAGGTTGCGGTGGGTCTGGAGAACTGGCCTAAGGAGGAGCTGGTGCATTCAACCCCCTTCTAGGGAGAACTTGAGGAAAAGCCTTGGGGTCAGGAGGGAACCACAGCCTCCCACCCAGCACCCGCCTGAGGCTTGGGGTGGAAGCAGGCAGCCTGGGAACCGGTCTGCCAACCAGTTTAACCAGGGACTGGTTTCGACTCTGGAGTTCAAAGGAGCTGGGTGCACCCGTTTCTCCCGCCAACGGGAGCAGCGGCCCTTAACCCTTTCCGGATTGTGCCTGGGATAATATCCAGGTGGCAGTTCATGCTGGAGAGGGGTCTGGCCTCTTTGGGGCTTGAAAGAGGTAGGGGTGACCTCAGTTACGGTTGGGGGTGCAAACAGGCACCCGAGAGTGGCAGAATGAGGCAAGAGGCTCCCTGGTTCTCCCCACCCCGATTTCCCTTGGGGTTCCCTCCTCCTGGCCAGGCGGTCCCTGGAGGACCCTGGCTTCTGGGTGGGTGCAGGGGTGCTGGGATTGGATTTCTGGGGTAATGAATATTCATCAGCTGAGCCGGCCTCTGCTTCTGTTTACTTAGCCAGGAGGGGCTGGGTTTCAGGTTCACCTTGACTCCTGAAGCCACAGCGGAGCAGGTACCGCTCCTGCACCTGTTTCTCCGCACCTGCTGCACGGCTGCTCCTACCCAGCTCTCCCAGACTGAACCTTGCCTGGCGCGGCAGTCCGGAGGCACTCCCACCTCCCCCAGTCTCCCGGGGCGCAGCTCCTGCACTCAGCTCCTTCTCTAGAAAGCTCTCGCCTCCAGCCTCCCAGCAGTCGGGCTCACAGGTACCGGCAGAGGGTGGGCGGGAGGGGAAACCAAGGCATGGACCTCTGTCTGGGGGCTCAGGTCTGCTTCCATGGCTGATACGCCCAGCTGGGAAGGGGGACCAGACATGCCGTCTCCCATGTCTCTCTAGGTGGGCAGGCAGAGCTCGACTCATCCCACTGGCTTCTTGGAGTCAATCCAGGCCTCCAACAGAGCTCCTTCTGGGAAAGCTTTACCCCAGAGCAGTGATCTATTAACTCTTGCTGGACAGGAGCTTACCACCTGCTACCCCCTCCCCCACTGGAGGATGTTTCTGGCTGTCTGGTAGGAATATATCCCTGTCCTCTCCAGGGCACCTGAGTGTCACGCAGAGTGGAGAAGTACCACAGGGGCCGTGCAGAGATGCAAGGAATAGAGGTTCTGAGTTTTGTCTTACTGCAGGAAGCCGACTCATCCCTTCAACCTCCCCCTCCAGCCTTCCACCTCCACCCCAGTCAATGGTTAACTTGTTCCAGCTCAGAAGGAGCCCAACCCAGTCTGGGCAAGGCCCTTAGGGCAGTTCACAGAACCCAGCTGGCATGGTGGGAGCTGTCCTGGGGTGCCCAGATGCCTGCCAGGGTGCTGACCACCATAGGCAGGGGGTGGCAGGCTATCCTGTGAGGCCCTTGTGGATTCCTAAGCTGTTCAAACAGTGGAGGTGTAACTTGCATCTTCAGGGCTGATTTCTATCATCTGATGGATTGCAAGGCCCTGGGGCAAGGGCCTTGCCCTCAGTGCGCCTGCTCAGGCCCTGCAGAAGCAGGTATATCACCAACTGCTGAGTCTGTTCAAAATTCCAAGTACATCCCCTCCCCCAGGTCCCTCTAGCCTCCTCTGACTACACGTGGGCATGTGATTGTTGGCCTCTGGCTTTTTGCAACTTTGGATACCTGGGAAGTTTGACTGTTGTGTCACATTTTTTCTCTAAAACAAATCAGATTTTACGCTATTTTGAGGTAGCTCATGATTTAAAAGAATCTTGTAGCCTCCTTATTTTGAAAAACAAAGAATAGTCTGCAAATTGTTCTGCAAATTCAGATTTCCATAGATTAGCCTTACTTAAAGGGCTAAACACCTGCTTACTGGCGTGTCATGTCCTCCTGGACAGAAGGGACAGCAAGGCCTAGCAGAAAGCATTTTGGAGAGACCAGAATTCAAGGCCAGGAGCAAAGGGCACCGATAACTTGGTGCCATGGTGAAAGCTCCAGGGCAGGACCCAGGGGCTACTCTGACCTCTCTCTGTGGCTTTCTGACAAGTGGCTCTCTTTACTCCAAGGAGAGTTAAGACCCATGCATGCCAAGTTCAAATACCTGTTAAAGTGGTATATTTTAAGTGGCACAAGCAGAGGGTACTCTCATAGAGCAAGGCAGTTTGGTGGTTACTGTTGTTTCAGGAGCTGAATCCTCCATTCCCCAAGTTCCTTAGCAGTCCCAGATGGGCCATGGTGGGGTTGTGGGTTTTGCACCAGACCAGGTGGTGACTGGGGCAACCATAGGCCAAGCAAGCACCCTGTCCCTCCTTCCTGGCCCTCCCCACGTCTCCTTCCAGAAACCCATTCTGGAACACCAAGTTCTGTGCAAGGCTGTGCTAAGCCCAGGTGGGGCAGGCTGCCAAAGCAAAGCTCTCAGGCTGTCTCCTTGGTGCACCACCTCTCCAGGGTGCCCTAAAAGTATTTACCTGACCACTCACCCCTCCTTCACTTTCTAAGTGGGAGCTGCACTAGCTCTCCTTGGGATTTTCTTGCTTCTTGAGCTCAGTTCGAGGGACAGAGCTGACAAAGTGGCATCTGCTTCCTGGACAGAGAGGTGGGGAGGAATCCCCTTGCTCTGGGCAAGTGGATGGATATATGCAGGGCCAGGGGACAACCACAACAAGGAGGCCATGGATGCAGGCACTCAGTTCATTTCAAGCTTAGGTCAGCATCCTGCATTCATTTCTTTCTTTATTTTTCTTTTTAAATACTTTTTTGGCTGAACTGCACAGCATGTGGGATCTTAGTTTCCTGACCAGAAATCAAACCCATGCTTTCTGCATTGGAAGCATGGAGTCTTAACCACTGGACTGCCAGGGAAGTCCCTCTTTCATTGTTTATAGAGAGAGAGAGAGAGAGAGAGGAGAAAACATCCTATATTCCTACTACATAAAGAAAACCAATATTAATCATTTGTCATATTTCTTCAGGTCTTTTTAGAAAATGTCGTTAAGACCATTAGTTTTTAAAAGTGGGTGATACATTTGCCTGACCTTGGGCTGGTTGATCAGCTAGCTTTCCGGTGTGCTGTGGCTATTGCACCCTCCTCCTCAGGACTTGCACAGCTCACACTGATACTGAGTCCAAGCTTGCTGTGTTCGCTACATGACAGGCCAATGAGTCGGAGAGACGAGGTGTTGAGGCAAGGAATACAATTTTATTCAGAAAGCCAGCTGACCAAGAAGATGGCAGACTAGCGTTTCAAAATAACCATCTTTTCAGGGTCTGAATGCCAGGTTCTTTTATGGATCAGAGATGGCAAGGAGGAGGAAACAGTAAAAGGGCCAATTTTGCAAATATCTCCTAGAATGGCAAGCCTCAGGCAGGGATGTGTGAGGTTCTTCCTACCATCTATGGGTGGACAGGGTTCTGAACAAAGGCACTTTAGTTTAACAGTCAGGCAGAGGGGCAGGATTCTCTGAGACAGGCCATTATGTATGATTATAATAACAAAAGCAATGGAAAGCAAGTCAAGGAAACAGTTTCAATATGGAGCCAGTATTGACTTCTCCCTGCAACAATACCACAGAATTCTGAAAATCAGACCACCAACCTCTCCAGGCCCAAAGATATTTCCATTTCTCATCACTCTGCCTGCTCTTTCATTGATCTTGCTATCTCTAGCCTATACTCTCTTTTTCTTGTGGTGTCCAGATAACTTCATCTGCCAAAACTTCCACCAGCTCAGGCAGCAACTTCATGGAATAGTAAAAGGTGAGGCCACTACTGTGTCAGGACACATCACATTGTCAGTGGAGAAGCTTGGCTTTTAGACCCCTGCCCCACCTCTCATGGGGTATCCTTATGGAGGGTCCAGCCTGTGATAACTGGACTCCACATGTACCTCTTGGCCCCACCAAACCTCCCTCCAAATGTTCAGGTTCCCTTCGAACTCCTGTCCTTATGGAAGCTGTATGGGGAAAGGGAACCACCCCTAAATAAGTTTTACTTTGCAAAGCACATCTACCTCGTGGGCAAGGATGAACATTAGAGCTGAACATTAGGTCTGGAAAGGACGGGTGCGGACACTGAGGTCCAAAGATGTACCTTGCCAGAGGTCACGAGGCTGGAATGGTTCTCAGGACTTCCCACTCCCAGCCTGATGTTTCTCTCTCTTAGAAAAACCACAGCTGCTTCTTCAGCCCCGGTGGTGACCACAGGGAAGTCCAAATTACTCTGAACATCGCAAATCCTGTTTAATTTTGTAATGAATTCCAAAGAAAATGCATAGGGTGTTTCTGTCCATCTGATACCAGCTGATCACCTGTCTGCTCCTGGCAGCAGGGCCTGGAGGCATAGCGGGAAGAGCTTGGGAAGGTGGCCAAGGCCCAGCTGCTTATGACCCAGCAAGCTATTCACCCTCCTGCAGCTCCAAGGGGCCTGGAGTGTCAAGCTGCCGGGCAGCGGTGTGTAGCTGTCCCACTGTCCCGTCTGCCTGGCTCAGATGGCGTCCCCGTGGATGTTTGCTTGACCGCCTCTTCCCCAGACCCCTCTCTCTCCTCATGTTCACCAAAAGGATTGCATGGCTTACCTGAATCCTGGGTTCACTTGGCCCTACCTTCAATTCTTTCAAGCCTGGTTGGGAGACTAGAAAGGGCTGCTCCAAAGCCCCTACCCCTTCTCCCCACTGACCGCTTTCTCTACACCCCCTGCTCCTGCAGGAAGCCCCACCCTCAGGTCTGGGAACGCCATGACCGAAGTTGGTTGGTGGAAGCTGACCTTCCTGCGGAAAAAGAAATCCACTCCCAAAGTACTGTATGAGATCCCTGACACCTACACCCAGAGTGAGGGTGGTGCGGAGCCCCCAAGGCCTGAGAGTGGGAGCCCCAGCAGCAACTTTAACACCCGCCTGGAGAAGATTGTGGACAAGAACACCAAGGGCAAGCACGTCAAAGTCTCCAACTCAGGCCGCTTCAAGGAGAAGAAAAAGGTCCGAGCCTCATTAGCAGAGAACCCCAACCTCTTTGATGACAGGGAGGGCAAAGGACAGTGAAGGGGGCTGAGGAGGACGCTACCACCTGCCCGCTCCCTGCCATCAGCTGGGTCTGAGACAGGAGCTCACCACGGTGGCCTCTCTGGCCACAGCTGAAGCCGTGGGGGGACTTGATGCCTGCTGGCAGGAAATGTCTGGTTTTAGGTTTGTATTTATGTGCTCTGGCTTTCTGGAAGGCCTGAGAGATCCCAGGTCCTCCTGCCCTCCCCCACCACATACAAAGGCACTTCAGTTCAAGGTTGAAAAGTCCCACTTGGGAAGGACAGCCCTCCTGGAGTCACTGGCAGCAGCAGCAGGGAGGTGGGCGTGGAAGGAATGGAGCAAGGGATCCGGACAGACCTCACCCCCTGCTGGGGCACAGGGTCAAGGGTGAGTTTAAATGACTGCTCCCTCTACTTTCTCTACCTGTGATTATTCTCTGGATCAATTCTGAGTGCATTTTCCAGAAGCCACGTGATGGGGGTGGTTTCCTGGAGCAGAGGTGGAGATGATGAACTTGAGCTCACCTCCTAAGTCAAGTGGGAAACTTCCTGGAACTTTGCCCCCAGGTGTGTGCGGGGAGGGGACACTGGCACTCCCTAGGAGGTGCTGCAGAAGGCCGGACCAGGGACCCCACAAGTTCTGCATGCACCCTCAAAGGGAAAGTACACTGCCCCTCGGGTTCAAACCTGGAAAGAGGGTGGGAAGTTCTGGCAGGAGCCCTCCTACTCCTACTGGTATTTAAGATGGATCAGCCCCAGAGATGAGTCCTGGAGCCTTGAATTTTCTTTAAAAGAAAAAAAATTGTAGGTTTCTTTTTGTAATAAACAATGCTGCAAAAGCAGAGAATCTATGTACGCTCTTGTCTTACATTTACTGAGATGCTGTTTTTCATGACTTTACTCTTTTTTACTTTGTGTTAAAACTGTTCCTTTTGAGCATCAGGAAAGGTGCCCAGGTGAAAAAATATAATGCATGGGGCCCTAACTTCACCACCAAGCCATCTTAGCATCTGGAGATGGAGAGAGCAAAGGAAGGAGCTAGTTACACCTCAGCAACAGAAAGGCTTTCAGGTGCTCCAAGAGAATGGAGTCGACCTCTGGTGACTGACCCCCAAATCTCAGGGGTTTAGTTTGGGATCCAGATTCAAATTCTGGTTCCTCCTTTAGCAGCTGGGTGATTTGGGGAACATTAAAAAGCAAAAACAAAAGCTCTGAGCCTCAGCTTCCTCTTCTGTAAAAGGGGCTGTACTAATATCTGTTTCACAGAGAGTGGCCAGTATAGGGCTTCCCTGGCGGCTCTGCGGTAAAGAATCCACCTGCAGTGCAGGAGTCACAGGAGATGCAGGTTTGATCCCTGGATTGGGAAGATCCCCTGGAGGAGGGCATGGCAACCCACTCCAGGATTCTTGCCTGAAGAATCCCAGCGACGGAGCAGCCTGGAGTGATGCAGTCCAAAGGGTCATGAAGAGTCGTGAAGACATGACTAAGGAGACTTAGCACACGTACATGGTCAGTATTACATGACCCATAAATAGTCCTATGTATGTGCCCAATGAATATGTTTCCTTCCCTTTAATTTTTTTTTCTTTTTCTTTTTTTTTTTTCGCTTTCTTTTATGAAGGAACTCCACCACAGCTCATGCTTCCGTTTAAGGATGAAGAGAGAGCTTACTCCCTATGCTGTTAGGTCTAGACCCTCCTCAAGCCCCAGGAGCTGAGAACTGGAAAAAAATTGGCCAAATCTCTGGAGCTCATGGTGGGGACAGAGAGAGACCGAGGTGACAACTAAACAATGTGATTCTGTGGCTTCCAGGTCAGCTCCTCGCAGGCTGCTGGGCCACCCCAGGGAGGTTACTCAGGACATTTACCAAAACAAACAGACCTGTACAAGGGGGCCTTTGTTAGCTGGCCTCACCCAGGCTAGAGGGAACTCTGAAGAAGAGGGAGGGAGACCAGGGACTGGAGGGAGGGAAGGCGGGCTCAGGTGTATGGCCTTCCCCCAAGCTTCTTCCCCATCCCTCCCCACCACATGTAACTTTCTAGGGTCCCCACAGTCATTCAGTCCATAAAGCCTCCCATGGAGGAGCTGACTTTCCACCGACTGCAGCTCTGCCCAGAGTTAGCAGCTGATAGAGGGTTTATAATCAGCCAGCTCTGTGGCGAGTACCCCCATGAAGTTCCTCCTGTAACCCTCTCATCATAGGTACTGTCATTATCACAGTTTTCTCGTTTTCCAGCTGCATTAGCTGAGGCCTAAGAGATTAAGTCACCAGACCTGGGTCAGGGGTTCCTAGTGGCAAAGCTGGGGCTGAGGCCAGACCTGTGCATATGGCTGCCACACCACACAGCCCCCTTCACACTGGGTTTTTATCTGCTCAGGGAAGGGAAGCCCGGCGTGCTGCAGTCCATGGGGTTGCAAAAAGTCGGACAGGACTGAGCAAATGAACAACGGGGAAGGGAAACTGAGGCTCAGAACAAGGAAGGAGTACAGTCACATGCAGTGGGGAGGTGGGTAGAGAGGGCCGTGCCTGGGCCTTGGGGTCCTGGGAGGCAAGCATCCTCTGAGGGGGCTGCCCAGAATCTGGAACCAATGAGGAAAAGCCAACCAGCTCCAAGGGTGAGACCCCAAACCACAGGCACCTGCCGCTTCAGCCATCCTGAGGTTCCCTGAGCAAAAGATGGGGAGGGGCGAGAGGCTGGGCCCCAGGCCACTGACCTGTGGTTCTGTTTCATACTGGCAACCACCAGGCCACTATTTTCCCTCTTAGGTGAGAGGATCTGCACGTTCCTCAACCCTGTGCATGCCGCTCCACTCCATGGCCCCAAAGTGATGGCCACAGAATCTCCCATGAAAACTCCACACATATTCCTAAGTTAAGGGATGGACGGATGGGCTGAGGGAGGTAATAAGGGCCAAAGGAGACCTGGTTGCCCAGGAAGTCAGCGCCCAGGCAGCCACAAGTGTTCACCAGGCCAGAGGAGGAAGCGAGAGTGCAAATATGAAAATATGAGCAGGAGAGGGAGAGGCTACGGTTATTGACCACAGTTTCACTGGGACAGGACCCAAGAGGGGAAAGGGGGGCAGGAGGGGCCGACCAGAACTGGCCTGTGCTGCCTAGAAGGGGCCAACCCTGGGCATCGGGCTCCCCCTGCTGGACACCCAACTTCCCCAAGTGGAGAAGCCAGGTAGGAGTTGCTTAAATTCTTCAAGTCCCCTCAAACATCGGGGGCGGGGGACGAGACCAGGCTAGATTGAATATTTACATCAGGCATGGCTGATGAGCTTTTATTTTAGACTTGGCACAGGGACTGTCAAACAGAGGAAAGGAAAGGAACAGCTGAGATCAGGCTCAAAGCAGGGAGTATACACAGACCCCACAACATAACAGGACAAGGTGGGGAAGGGCACTCCGGCACCCTCTCCTGCAAGTGGCCACATTGTGCCTTCCTGCACCCCCCGGCTTAAGGAAGCCGGTGGGGGTGGGGGGTGGTCAACACCCAGAGGGCCGCTCTTGGAGGAGGCAGTCAGTAACAGACGCCAAAGCACACACCCATACAGTGGAATGAAGCAGTTTACAGAGTTGCAAGCTCAATGGCCAATGTATGCAAACAGTCAGTTCTCTGATCTGGCTTAGTCACAGCAAACATTTGCCCAGCCTGGCTCCTCTCTGCAGCCTTGAGGCTACTCATCCACGTTATCCCTGGTCACCAGACTTGTGCTCAAAGAAGACAAAGACTATAGGTCAGCACAGGCCTCAGCCAAGTGCTACAAAAGAATCCAGCTGCAGAAGTGGTTGGTTTAGAGGTTGAGGCTAATCTGGTTATGTGGAAGCGGAGGTGGTCTTGTTTAAAGCAGCGTGGGATTCAATGGGTCTGGGGTAGGCTCCCAGGGGAAGCCAAAGCTGCAGGCCTGTGGACTACACTTCAAGTGAATGAAAGTCGCTCAGTCGTGTCTGACTCTTTTTGACCCCATGGACTAGAGAGTCCATGGGATTCTCCAGGCCAGAATACTGGAGTGGGTAGCCTTTCCCGTCTTCAGGGGATCTTCCCAATCCAGGGATCAAGCCCAGATCTCCTGCATTGCAGATGGATTTTTTACCACCTGAGCCACAAGGGAAGCCCCACTGCAAGTAGCAAGGATCTATTAACATGGGCTCTCAACCTTGGCTGCACAGAATTCCCAAGGACCTTTGAAACTTCCCCAAGTCCTGGCTGCACTCACACTGGTCAAATCACCTTTGAGAGTGGGACTGAGCAGCAGGGTTTTTAAAGCTCCTGGGTAATTCCAGTAAAAATTCAGTAGGGGTGGCATGGAGGTAAAGGGATACGTGTCAGAAAAGTATAAGCTCTATTATTTAATTTTATATCTGGAAAAAGAAATACATATAAATGTATGTATATATGTATCTCACATACATATGTGCTGTGCTAAGTCGCTTCAGTCGTGTCTGACTCTTTGCGACCCTATGGACTGTAGCCTACCAGGCTCCTCTATCCATGGCATTCTCCAGGCAAGAATACTAGAGTGGGTTGCCATGCCCTCCTCCAGTGGATCTTCCAGACCCAGGGATTGAACCCACATCTCTTACATCTCCTGCACTGGCAGGTGGGTTCTTTACCACTAGTACCACCTGGAAAGCCCTCACATACATCAAGTTTTTATAAACAAATGTGGAAAGTAAGGCCTGATGAAAATCTTCCTGACCACAGGTACTAGCGTGAGTTCCTTCTACAAAACTCCTGTCTGACAGGGACAGAACATTCACTACCTGACCTACTCCTTCTTAAGCAGCCCCAATTGAAATTTCTTCCCATACTGAGATAAAATCTAACTTCATGTAACTTCCACCTATGGGTCCTTTGGAGCTACAGAGAATAAATTTAGTCTCTTTTCCACATTGCTCCTCTTCAGATAATGGAGGGCAGCAATCAGTTGGGTAAGAGGTTTAAAAATATCCTACTAGTAAGTGAGTTAGTTAAGGTTCTTTTTGTTGCAAACAAATCAATTCTGACTGGTTTAAGCCAAGGAAAAAAAAAAACAAAACCTCTATTTTATTTTTTTCCCTCTCTCTTTTTTTAAAGAGATAATGGGGGTTTTCTGAGGTAGGAGGAGGAATTGCACAACCCCAGGCATGGGAAGGAGGGATCTGTGGATCGTTCAGGGAATTTGCAAGAGCAGCAGCCAGAAGTTGCTGTTTCTAGGCCACCATTATTTACTTGGCGGCTACAATGGTTCCTGTGCTCTGAGTCTCTAGAGTTCAAATTTCAAATTTGAAGGAAAAGAAAAACCCATTGGCTAGATTGCCTTGGGTGCTTCTGCTGGGACCAACTGGCTCTGGCCAGACTCTGTCATGTGATAACAGACAAGGCTGCTGGGGGCCCACCCCCTGTCACCAGAAAAGGGAATCACATCAGCTCCACCCCTAGAGGGAGCTATTCCAATAAATCATAGTTAAGGTCAAGAAGAAAATTACGAGATTTTCCATTTGTGATCGTCTGTGCCACTGTTAAACTCCACTAGACTAGCTGACTACAGAGAATTCTGAGGGTAAACACTGAAGGGCCCTGAATGTAAGAGGTAGGAAGGGAAGTGGCTTGAGTTTAGAAGGGTCTGGCCCCCCCATCCCATACCCTCTCTGGGGCACTGGCCCCAGCTCCACTCCGTGCCAGCAGATTGGGAGTCAGGGCGCAAGTCTCTCATAGAGCCAGTCTTCCTCCCCTCGGTGGGTCATGGGCCCCAGAGGGGCGTCTCCAGTTAGTAGGCCTCGTCGAAAGACGATCCGGTCGTGCAGGCGGTTGGTTTGGCCTTGCCAGAACTCCATCACCTGTGGGTACAGGATGTAGCCACCCCTACAAGGAGAAGTAGACGGCTTGGTGCTCTGTGCATCTTTCTAACCAGGCAACCGCCACCACCCTCCATGCCATCCCAGAGTCCCGTGAAGGAAGCTGCTGGCATGCATCTGACAAGGGTTGCCAGGGAGGAGTGTATCTGGAATTCCAAGGACAGCATGGCTTCAAGGAATCATGAGGGTCCCAGTGTCCCTTTCTAGGTGACCCCCGGTATCACTCACCAGTATTTTGGCTTTGGCACCTCCTGTTCCTGGTAGAGTTGCTCCAGTTCCTTATTTTTCTTTCTCAGATACTGTCCAGGGGAAGGAAATGAAGAAAGGGCCAGACTCAGTCAGTGCTTCATTGAATCACCACTTATAGGGCCTGTGCTCTGTGCCAGGCTGGGGACACAGGTGACTTCCATGGGCCCAGTTCAACAGGAGGGTCAGACAGACACAGGAGGCCTGTTCCCTGCTCCCCATATTCACATCCCCCACTTTCCCATCCATTTCACTTTGCTGGAAAGAGAGGGCCCTGGCATCCCCTGGGGACAGCCTCTGGGGCTGAGCCAAGGCACCCACCACTCAAAGGACTAAGGAGAAGCCCTACTTACCTCCCTATCTGGGATCACGGAACTCTGGTGACTGACCACAGCCCCAATCTGGCTGCTCTTGGGGCGAGAGTGGAAGTAGCATTCAGCCTCCTCCTCAGGCAGCTTCTTCACGGGCCCCTCCACACGCACCTGCTCAGGGATGGCCTTGGTTAGATAGCATTCAAGGCCACCTGCCTTCCCAATCAGCACTGGCCCATCTTCTTTGTTCTTCTCTTTAGCCACTGCCCTATTGCGCCTGACTCCAGGTAGCCCAGCTAAGTGAGAGCCATTTNGCCCAGGGATGGCCTTGGTTAGATAGCATTCAAGGCCACCTGCCTTCCCAATCAGCACTGGCCCATCTTCTTTGTTCTTCTCTTTAGCCACTGCCCTATTGCGCCTGACTCCAGGTAGCCCAGCTAAGTGAGAGCCATTTGAAAGGCAGGATCTTTGTGCAGCCTGGGGACCTTCACCAGGTTCATCCATAAACTCAGGCCCCTCCTACCTCCAGTCCACCCCTGGTTGTCCCAGGAAGGCTCACTCACCTGACGGTGCAGGGGCTCCCAGTAGAAGACAAGGGAAGCAAAGGGATTGGAGTCCTGGAAATGGAAGAGAATCCACAGACAGTCATCAGGACAGGAGAGAGGATGCCTGAGCACAGGGGGAAGGCAGGGAGTCTGCACCACGCAGGCCCACTGAAGATGCATTTACTGTAGCATCTCATTAAGTTCTCAAAGGTAGGCCTACTTTTACAGGTGTGGAGATAGGCTCAGAGAGCTTCAGTAACATGGCTGGGTTCAGAGAGTCAATGGAAGACTTGCACTGAAAACCTCAGCCAGATGGACTCCAAAGGGAGGCTTGCCATGTCTCTCACCCACAGATTTGCAAATCCTCTGAAATGCACATTTGACTGCACTGGACTCGGGGAGGGCTACTCATTTTGGATTCATTAACTGAACACATACGAAGTGACAGCTCTGTGCTCAACACCAGGAGAGGTGCTGGGGGTATAACAGAGACACCTCAGAGGCAGCCTCGCCCCCACGGAGCTTACCGTTTAGCAGAGGACATAAACATTGATCACATAACCCCCCAAATACATGCAGTTAGAAACTAAAACAATGGCAGAAAGGAAATTTGTAAATTATAGTGACCGCAAACAGTGAGAGGGGCTGGCTCAGCCTGGGAGTCCAGAGGCTTCCATGGGGAGGTGATGTGGGGGCTGAGACCCGATGAAACAGGAGCTACTCAGATAAACAGCTAGGGAGGTGGAGGTGCTTAAAGCTTGCCCTCATTCACAGCAGAGAGAAGGCAAGTGCAAAGGCCTCTAGTCAGGACAGTGCCTGAACACGGCTGGCAGGTGGACTGGGGCAGGGGTGGCATGAGTAGGTGACCGACAAGCCAAGGCTGGACGCTGCAGGCCCAGGAAGGATTTACCGTGAACCCTCACCAGCTCTTTTCCCTTTCGACTCTCGAAGTTAGTGAAGAAGCGGAAGCCATCCTTGCCAAAGCCCTTCAGCAGCACCATGCGGGCAGACGGTTTCCCATCTCTAGGGCAAAGAGCAGAGCACCACGGTCAGAGGCCCTCCCCACAGGATGTCTGAGCACCCCTACACCTGTGCCCCCTTATTCTGCACTCTCTGGGCACTCAAGCTGCCCATGGGAATTTGTCCCAGAGGTGCAAACATGACACCGTTGCCTAGGGCCCTATAATGGACTGAACTGGGTTCCACTAACAGTTTTGAAGCCCTCACTCACAATGTGACTGTATTTGAAGATGGGACCTTTAGGGAGTGATTAAGGTTAAATGAGATCATAAGCGTGGGACGCTAATCCAGTAGGACTGGTGTCCTGATAAGAAAAGGAAGAGACACCAGAGAACTCCCTCTCTCCCTGCATACACAAAGGGAAGGCCATGCGAGAACACAGCAGAAAGGCAGCCATCTGTAAGCCAGGACTCGAGAGAGGCTTTGCTAGAAACCAACTCTGACAGCACCTTGATTTTGGACTTGTAGCCTCCAGACCTGTGAGACAACAAGTTTCTGTTATGCCACCCAGTCTGTTACGGTAGCCTAAGCAAACTAGCTCTGGGGGATATCCAGGGGCACGGTACAAGTGCCCTGCCTCCAAAGCCTTACACTTCAGTGACGAGGGGGAAGAAGAGTTGAATAAGGGGCTAATACAAGCGATGTCTCAAAGAATTTATGACTGATTGTCAAACGAATGATACAAACCAGCACTGTGCTAGATTTCAAGAGAGGGAGATGGCTTTATGGAGATCTACCTCCCCAGATGGGAACTGGGGAGACTGGGAGCTGAGGGAGACAAGGGTGTGTGTACTGGGAGGTGGAAGCATCAAGAGCAGAGATGAATGAGGCACTACAATTTATCACTATATGGAATTGAGTCAAGTGTAATCTTTGGTTTACAGGTAAGGACACTGAGGCCCAGAGAGGACAAATTACTTGCCTGAGGTCACACAGCATGTTAGTAATAGAACTAGAATCACAAAGTTGTCATCCATCAAACTGAGAGCTTCCTGTTTCCTACTTCATCTGTACCCACCTACAGAAGGGCCCACGGCTGTGCCTACCTCGTACACGTAGCCAGACACATGGCGTTGGCTTCCATTATCTCGGGACACTGAACAGCCTCCTCGAACCAGGCAGCAAACTGCTTCACAGGGTCCAGGGAGGTCAGATGAGTCTCCTCAAATGCCTGGGAAGGGAGTTTTATTTCATTTAATAAACACACAGAGTGTTGACTGTGTACATGCTCTGTTCTAGGCACTTTTCAAGTGTTAACTCATTTAGTCCTCATAACAAAAACCTGTCCCCAGGAAGGTTCTGTTAGCCTCATCTTATAGGTGAGAAAACAGGTACAAAATGGTGAATAATTTGACAAATCAGGGTTTCATGTCAAACCTATCACCTAGGAAGCCTAAAAAAAAAAAAAAAACAACAACCCTGGGCTCCACCTAGTAAATTCTCATTCAGCAGGTCAATTGCAGGAAGGGGGACCCCTTCCAGGGCCTGAGAGTGGGCTCTTGTCTGACACTCAGAAATGAATTGTCTGAGGAGGTACTCTTGCTGACAAAACAAGAGACGTTATTGGGACGGGGCGCCCGGGTGGAAAGCAGCAGGGTAAGGGGACCTGGGAGGGCTGCTCTGCCACATGGCTTGCAGTTTCATGTTTTATGGTGATGTTGTTGGTTTCCGGGTTGTCTCTGGCCAATCATTCTGACTCAGGGTCCTTCCTGGTGGCACGTGCATTGCTCAGCCAAGATGGATTCCAGTCAGGAGGATTCTGGGAGGTAGGTAGGACATACAGACTGTCTTCTCTCTCCTTTTGACCTTTCTCAAATTCTTCTAGTTGGTGTTAGCTTGTTAGTTCCATGTTCCTTCCCGGAACCTCTGGTTTAAGATAACTCATGCAAGTGGTTACTTTGGGGCCTGGCCAGGGCAGACAGTTTGGGTCAGTGGTTCCCCTAACAAGTCTGAGATTTAATGAAAAACTGCATGTTTAACAAGCATTTCTGGAAAAGTTCACATGCAACTAGATTTGGTAACCAGGCTCCGGGCCCTAATTCCAAAATAGTTCTCTTGTTTTCTCTTCTGAGGAGAGAAAAGGAAGTAAGATCCAGGAGCTTTCTCCTGCACTCCTGGGTAAGTTATTTCTCCTCCTCAAAGTTATTTATTTATCAAACATTTATGGACTTCCCTGGGGTCCAGTGGTTTAAAATCCACCTGCCAATGCAGGGCGCTGGGGTTTGATCCCTAGTCTGGGAAGATCCCACATGCCGGGGGGCAGCCTGAGGGCCACAGCTATTGAGCCCACGGGCTGCAGCTATGGGAAGACGGCACACCTAGAGCCCCATGCTCCCCAATGACAGAAGCCTTTGCCCAAGGAAGACCCAGAGCAACCAAAAATAGACAAAATAAATTAACTAGTTACATTTAAAAACAACAACAAACATAAGCTTCCCAGGTGGCTCAGCGGTAAAGAACCCGCCTGCCAATCCAGGAGAAACGTGTTCTAATCCCTGGGCCGGGAAGAGCCCTGGAAATGGCAACCCACTTCATTATTTTTGCCTGGGAAACTCCATGGACAGAGGAGCCTGGTGGGCTTCAGTTCATGGGGTCACAAAGAGTTGGAGACGACTCAGTGACTAAACAAGCTGATTATCACTGTTTTAGGCACTTTACTAGCTTCACTACTTTGGCCACCTGATGTAAACAGTCAACTCATTGGGAAAGATCCTGATGCTGGAAAGATTGAAGGCGAAAGGAGAAAGCGGGCAAAAGAAGAGGGCAGCAAAGGATAAGATGGTTATATAGCATCACCGACTCAATAGACATGAACCTGAACAAATTTGGGGAGATACTGAAGGACAGGGAATCCTGGCCCGGTGCAGTCCATGGGGTTGCAAAGAGTCTGACACAACTTGGCGACTGAACAACAGAGGTATTTTACAAATATCAAAGTCCGTAACATCCCCGTGAGGTCAGTGATAAATTACTTGTGAAGTGAGGAAACTGAGACCCAGAGAGGTGAGTAAACCTCCCAAGAGGTGCGTCCAACGACCGGCAGGATTCCTCCCAGGCAATCCCCGAGTGAGCGCCCTGAGTGCCTATAACGAGCTGCCTCTGGAGTCCACCTTCATCCTCGCTTCTCCAGAAACCCTCCCCCATTGATGGTCTTTGAGCCCCCGCTTCTCCCATAGGGGTAACCCCGAGCCCCAAGAGGTGGATCAGAAACCCCAGGGGATCCTTTCCATGACCCTCCCCTCGTGAGATGACTGGGGAGGCCCTGCAGGGCAGCGCACCTCTGGGTCCCCGCGGTAAGTCTTGCGCATCGGTCCTAGGTCCATGGCAGCACCGCGGCTGCAGAGGCGGCGGAGGCAGCGGGGCCACTCGGCGGGTCGCCCAAACGTCACGATGACGCTCGGCAACCAGAATGTCATGGGGCCGCTGGCCACGTGACCCGGCGTGGCTCCGCGCGGGGTTCCGTTGGGTTCGGAACCAGTGTCTTAGCCCTGGAATCTTCCGGCAAGGGAGAATTTACCAGTCACCAAGACAGGCCGACAGCCTAAGTCCTCCGAGCCAACGGGAGCCAATGGGAAGCCAGAGTCGGTGGAGGGAGCCGGGAGCGGAGAGGCCATTGGTTGGAGTTTTCCAGGAGCGAGGCCAATTAGAACAAGCACAGAGGAACCCGGCAGCCAATGGACGACGCCTCCCGGGGCGGGAGCAGAGAGACAAGGAAATGCTGTCACCGCGGTTAACACGCACGTGGAGGTTTGTTAAAGGTATAGGGACTGCAGCGGCCCAGGCGGGAGGGGCAAGGGAGAAGCCGCTGGGGGCTTGTGGAGATAGTCAGTCTTAAGAGGCCTGCCCCTAGCAGATGCCCGAAGGCTAGCTTAGAGTTTGGCGGCCTGGAAAGGACAAACGGAAAATGGAATTAGGGGCCAGACTCTGAGGCAAGGTGAAGTGCAGACACAGAAAGGGGCGATCTGGTGGGGGGGATGAAATTTGGGCTCGAGAGTGGGAGAGGTTGAAATGTGACTTCGGGTCTCGCGGGATAGGCGTGTGTATATAATGTGTGAGTATGGGAAGGTACCCTGGTGTCTGGAGGAGCAGTTGGGTCAGGAGGAGACTATGGGTAAGAGAGCAGATGGCCAAATGGGAAAGGGGAAGAGGGAAATTTGGGATCAAACCATCCCAGATGAGAACCATCTTCCTCTTTCAGCTCTGAATCGCCGCTCTCCAGCCTCATTTCTGTAATGCAGGTCAGAGCATGCTCCTCCCTTTCCTCGTGGTTTCCTCTTTTGTGGTTGCCGCAGAGCTCATACTACCCAGTGTTCCAGTAGATGGAAGGATTGCCCCACTGCTCCGGGGCCACCTTCCTCTTTGTTGTTTCCCCCTTTTCACATTTTGCCCCTTCTAGGTAGTTGGAGTCTAGTTCCCAGGTCAGTGCCAACCATAATTAAGGGCACAGAGGAGCAGGTTGCCATGCAAAGTCACTTCCAGGCTGTGGACTAGGGGCTGAGTAATAGGATACTTGCCAGTGCCCATTCCAGCTTTGACTTGGCTGGGCAGCCTAGGGTCAAGGCCTCTCTGTAGTCCTTTCTGAACATCAAGAAGGGGAGCTGCAAGAGCCTTTTAGGCAGGCACCCCAGGACTGTATCAGGAAGGGGAACTTCCCTGCCCTGCCCTGGTGTTTGCATTACTGCCGAGCTTCATTAAGCCCTACATTAGATGACTGCTATTAAGTGCATGTAACTTGAGCCAAACGGCATCTGGAAGACAAATTTGCTGCAAAGAAATAATTCATTTCAAGGTTTAATGATGTTGATCAATGGATTCTCCACTGGTTGAAATTTTTTTATGTGGCCATCATTTTTCTCTATTGACACAACTGAGAGGTGACTGGACTTTCTTTCTTGTTGAGGTTCTTCCACATATGACCATTTCTTCCCTCCTCCCAAGGCCCTGCACTTGAACCTGGATAAGGAATGATTAGTACTCTTCAGCTCACATGATTTTGTTCATGGGGCTACACTCTTAGCACTGCTGGGTTATGCTACCCTGGGCCCAGATTCTGGGGCACCAAGACTAGGATCATTTGAATGGTTTGCTTAAAATTTAAAAGACAAGGGCTCAGTGTAGTGGGGAAGACATGTGTTAAAGACCAGGCACTGAGCTAGGTCTGAGAATATTAAGACAAAGGTGCATGGTTCCTGTCCACAGGGGGCTTACACTCTATAAGGGGAGGCAGATCTGTAAACTAAGGAGTTACAGGAACTTTAACAGATGTATCTGCAAGGTAAAGGGGATCAAAAATGAGAATGTGGTCTCCAAGGGTTACGCAGTCAGGAAAGGCTTCATAAAGGGAGCAGACATTTGATTTGTCTTAATGAATAAGTGTTCTCCAGATGGACAAAGAACAGTCATTCCAGGAAGAGGGAACAGCTTGAGTGTGATACTGCCAGAGTAAGGTGGTGAGAAAACAGGCCAGGCAAGGAGGCAGGGGCTAGGTGACTGCTAAAGATCAGACTGGTGGCAAGGGCCAGCTTTAGATATCTCTTCTCAGTTTTCATCCTGTGCTGCTGTCGAACCAGGGTGTCTAATTCCTGGTTTTTTAAGGCCAGGTAGCAAGAAAAAATACTAGATTCTGACAGCCTCTTCCATTCTTGGCTGTTAGTGAGGAAATTTGCAACTGGTTGCCTTTTTATATTTCCCCTTTGTCTTGAAGATAATCAGTGGGCTTGTATTGTGCTTTTCTGCCTAGTGGAATTTGGTGTCTAGATCACAAAGGGGCCCTGCAATGCAAACCAGAGTGGGGACATGACGCCTGCTGTGGGTGCTGCTCCTGCTTATGACCCCAGCACGGGGTTTGACTGCTTGGGAGAAATGAATTTCTGTTTTACTGCTTTTCTTAAATATTTTGCTCACCACCCCCTAACTCTGTAAAGTTACTAATCTTTTCTTGGAGGTCTTTAATGAATAGAATCTATATTACAATACTGCATTGTACAGAGACACCCCAGTTTCTCAATATGCAGCAAAAGCTTGGAGACTTTGTTTGGGGATTACACCGTGCCTGTTTTCTCGTAATGCTTTTGCATTTATGTTCTTAAATCACCTTTTTTAGTCTAATTGTTTGATTAAATTATACATTTCAGTTACATCTTGGTGATTGTATTTTTTTTGGGGACATGGTGACCAATAAATAGGTGATGGGCAAAGGAGGGTGAGGCAGTAGCAGGGAGACATTGGGAGATGCTGTTCTCTAAGCTAGAGCTGGGAAGTGGGGAGCCTGATGCCTGAGTTTGGGGGGTATGAGGTAGAGAGGAACGATTTAACTCAGCAGGATGCCTTTATGTGAGCTGGGCAATGAGTGAAAGTGAAGTTGCTCAGTCGTGTCCAACTCTTGTTGACCCTATGGACTGTAGCCTACCATGCTCCTCCATCCATGGGATTTTCCAGGCAAGAGTACTGGAGTGGGCTGCCATTGCCTTCTCCAGAGGATCTGCCCAACCCAGGGATCAAACCCGGGTTTCCCGCATTGTAGGCAGATGCCTTGCCTTACCGTCTGAGCCACCAGGGAAGGTGCTATTCTTTAAAGTGAGGGCATGTTGGAGGAGAGGTTTCAGGGAAAGATGAAGTCACCGTCAGGCCTGTTGAGTGTGAGGGTTTATGGGATAACCATGTGTGGTCAGGTTGAAAAAGCACTTCTGACGCTGGAGGAGAGGTCTGGACTGATGGGATGGTTTAGGTGTTATGAGCCTCCAAGGTGGCACTTGAAGTCATAGGGAAGGATGAGAATGTCTGGGAAGGGAAGGGAACCTAGGGGAGTAGTTAATGATGCTTGTGCAGTACAGCCCCCAGCTTTCCAGGGAACCAACAGCAGGCTGGAACCAACCCCAGGTGTGCTGGGGGCCCAAATCTCAGGAATTCTCTGGCCCGGCCTTGGGTGAACTCAGTGTGGAGCCTCAGAGTGCACAGATGGGTACTTGGTGCTCAGACAGATGTCTGAACCCTGAGTATGGCTACCAGGGGACCTAGAGCAGGGTGCAAGGAGGCTGACCCTTACCCAAGTGTCCCGCTTGGAGTTATGGGGTTAACCCCTCATGTGATCCTTTGCATATGCTCACGGATTGCTCCCCAAATATGTCCCTTTGTTTTCATATGTGTACCCCATGAGAAGCTCCTTCATGGGACGGACTCCTTAATATCCCCGGCTCCTTCTCACAGTCCCAGCCAGGAAATGCTAATGTGTAATATTTATGCATAATCTGCTTTTCTTAGGCTTCTCTGAACATGGTGAGTGGGGCATGGGGTTTTTGGCACCTGGTAGGACTGCAGGGATGTTTAGGTTTCCAAGGCTGGGTGAGCTCTGGGGCATCTATCTTAGCCCCGCCACTGAGTGAGCCACAGGAGCGGGAGGAGGCCTGATGGCGTCTCAGCAGGCCCAAAAGATATGACCTGGTGGCGCCTTAGTTTTATTTAAGGACTCCTGGTCGATTATCTTGACCTGACCTGTGGTCATTTATTTCCTCTTGCCCACGATCCCGAAGAGCAGGTATCTGATGCTCCTCTCCAAGCCCTGATTCTCTGCTTCTCCCTCCATTCTTTGCTTTCTTTTCACCTACACCCCTGTTCTTTATTCCATCCTCCCAGGCTCACTTCCTGCTCTTCTACTCCCTGAGGGCCCTTTTACTAGGAAACCCAACTGTCACCTGTCCTGAGATTATTGCTGTTCCTTAAGTAGCTTCATCCCAGCCCCAGAGACTTTGGTCAGGTCACCGAAGGTCCCTGACCCCCAAGTTAGATTCCCTGAATCCACCACCATCTAGACCTCAGCCACGAGCCCCTGACAGGTCCAGTGACCTGAGCTGCTACAGGTGGCTCCCGTCATTAAACTCAAGTGCGGGGCCTCAAAGGGTGATTGTCAAGATGGGCTGAGTAGTTTGAAGGACGCCTGAGGTCTACTTGCTGGTTTAGTTAGGAAAAAATAGTGCCCGATGTGCCTTCAGGAGAGGAGCATCTTTCCCAGGCCCCTTTTATTTCAACCTTATAATCCTAGTATCTGGGATGGGTGAGCTACAGCGTTGAGCATCGCTGAACAGACCAGAGAGGTGGCCTTGGAGCACAGGACCCTGGGCGGGGAACTCAGACTGTGTGACCCCCACTCTCAAGCTGCTGGGGTGGCCTGATGGGGGTGGCATTTTCAACCAGGGCCAATCAGGTGTCCTGGAGAGGCCTCTGGCCTGGAGTGAGCTCGGGCTGCATCACTCTAAGTCCCCACCCCCGCAACTCTTAAGTCTCAGTAAGGGATAGATTGAAGCAGATGAGGGCTAATTAGCCACTGGGTCTCTCTGTTCTTTCCTCAGGCCATTAGCCATGCCAGGCAGAATACATCTTCCTGCTCCCCTTCTAACTCAGGCATCCCATAGGAGGCAAAGATGATCAGGTATGTGTCTCACTGGAGAAGGGAAACCTTGAGTGACAGCATGCTCTTCTGCCCATTAGGGGCTGGCACTTCATTTCCAAAGGATGCCGAGGAGTCAGGTCAGCGTCCGCCCTTGAAGCATAAACCACAGTTCCCAGGAAAGGATCGTTCTTTGTGCCTGAGAGCAAAGCCGGTGGGGAACATGTGGCAGGAAGAGATCAGTTGTTAACATTCCCCTTCTTTCCTCTAGTCCCAATCCAGAACACAGTAAGGCAGTTTTCTAGTCACACATTCCACGCTTGAGAGGGGGTTGAATATACCTCATGTCTTCTGCCTCCTGCCCGTGCAGTGATGACATGTGGGGCTGCTGGGCTGGGTAGGAGGCTTCATGTCAGGGAAGTCAGTGGTGGGTCTGGTATCACTCAAAGGGCTTAAGTATGCTTGTTGGATGGGCCTCCTTACTTTAATAAAGAAGTGATCAGGGCAGACAAACCTGTGATCCATCTTATTTCTTCAGCTGATGTAAGGGTGTTCAGGCTCTAAAGACAAGATGTTTGCTTGCAAAAATGCAGGCTGCTGGTAACAGAGGAAACCTAGTAAGGGGATAGAGAGCTCCAAGCGAGCCCTGCCACGCCTGCACAGAACAGCCACCATGGCTGGATCCTTCTGAGGCTGGTTAAGAGGAATTGTTGATATAAGAAAAGCACATACCGTTCTCTATATGCTTGAGAACAACTTGTCTCTTCCTTCAGCCCAGATGTTCTTCAGGCCCTTCCTAGGTTTAAACACAGGTACTGAACTGGCTCTAATCTCAGCCTGCCTACCATCACGAGCCCTGATCTCCTCATAGCCTTGCCCCATCCCCACCCCTCCAAAAATTCAGATCTGCAGCACTTGCTGAAACCAAAATTAGCCTGCTGCCCTCCCTGGGATGCTGGCGTAAGGGGATAGAAGAAAAACAGAATCTGTGGCCAGGGTTCTCTCTTGAGCTGGGTTCTGACCTGGCCCTCCACCCTGGGAAGGGCTCTTGGGGAATTGTTTTCTCCAGATTCTTTAGCCTTCTGCAAGTGACTGAGGTGAGGTCCTTTTGGGTTTCTCTCCCAAGCTTATTATTAACGGGCTCGGAGGCCAAAGCCCTCCTCCAGGGGTTGGAGAGTTGAGTGGAGGAATTCACTTGCTGGTAAGGAAGGCATTGCTGTTGACTTGAGTCTGCGGACAGAGCCTGCCTGCTTTGATCTGGGCAAAACCAGGCAAAACAAAGCAAAACCTCCTGCACCAAGCCCAGCCCTCTGGAGCCCCACCAGGTGCTCTGGGAGCTTGTGCCAATGCCAGGTCCGTGTGGCTGAGGCCCCTTCTGGGCTGTGGCCTGGATTTGCCAAGGTCAGAAGGGCAAGGCCCCACCCTGGGCCCAGTGTGGACTGCTCTGAAGAGACCAGCGCTCCCTTCTCAGGATTCCCTGCTACAAGGGGAAAGACAAAGGAAGCTGCATTGCCAAGTTGCAGATTTTGCCTCAGGCAACTAAATTTATTAGCAAGAAAAAATTTTTGTCAGCCCAGTGCTGACCAACAAAGTACATCGTTAATAAAGGATAACAAATCTGTCACTTAATTCATAAAACATACCTCAAGCAGTTACAACTAAAAATAAAGTTGGATTTTTGTTTTAATTTAAAAGCCTCAAAAATAACAAGCAATATGTTTTTAAACATGTAGTAGACACAATTGTCTATTATACAATATACACTGTACACTTGTAGGGCTTGGGCTGGTCGGGGTGGGTGAGATGATGAGGAGAGGGATGAGGTTCAGGATGGGAAGGTGTTTTATCTGAATCCAGATTTGAGTTGAAATGCTGTGTCATTTAGAAAAGAGAATTGCTAAAGTGAGAAAAAAAATTCATATGCTCATCATTGCCCCCCAAAAAACCCTAAACTAAAAGCAGGCATGGGGGAGGTGAATAACAAGGACAGGAAGAAGGGAGCAATTAAATAAACTTCTTTAAAGCACACACAATACACAGTGTTCATCATCGGAAGTAGAGTATAAGGCAACGTTCTCCATAGAAAAAGAGGGGAATCAGGGAGTGGGTGGGTAGCTTTACTTTTTAAATAGAAAGTTGGAATGTGCTGGAGGAGAGTCGGGGTGGGGCGGGGCTGTGGAGTGGAGGCGGACTGGCTGCCAGTGGAGCCCTGGGGGCAGGACCCTGGGCGTCAGGGCGGCCTCGATGGCCGAGGGGGCCGGGGAGGTGGAGGAGAGGGAGGGGGCATGGCACGATGCGACTCCGGCAGTGTTGCGGGGAGGGGGCTCACTTCGCTCCTCGACGGAGTGAAATTCATGTTTTTCCTTTGGAAATAAGGGTTCCCACTCGTCCTGGTTTAGAACGTCTCATTGGGCATGGCCAGTGTCCATGGTTTGGGCAGGCCAGGAGCTTGTGGTGAGAGGGGAGGGCCAGGCGGAGCCAGGGGGCTTCAGAAGGAGGTGCATGTGGGGGCAGCACAGCCCCTTCCCGTGGGGACAGTCGCACAACAGGAAGGGGGTCGAGGTGGGCCCATGAAGTGTGGGCCTCCTTTCTGCCGGAGGCCCAGGCAGGACACGGGCAGGTCTGCGTCTGTGGGGCCTCTTGCCTCAGTTGGCCTTACAAGTTCTTCGTGACCAGGTGGGTCTTATAATGCTTGGTGAGGTGGTCACTCCTCATGAAGCGCTTCTGACACTGGGCACACTCGAAGCGTTTGTCCCCTGGGAAGAGGAGATGCCTGTCACTCACAGATATGTGTCCCTCTGCCGAACCCCGTCTCAAAGTCCTCCCCCTCACAGGAAAAGCCCTCTCCCCTCTGACCTGCCAGCCTGAGCACTAACGGCCCGAATCACACCCACCCACCCGGGCTGGGTTAGCTACTGTTCTGAGTATTTACTCTGAGGCTACAAGGGTGGGTGAGACCTGCCCCTCACACTGGCCTCATGTCCCAGGCCCAGGCCACGTGTCTGCTCACTGGGAGCATTTGCCAGAATAGCAGTTCTCAAAGCCTGTGCTGTGGACCACTGGAGGCAGTCAGCACAATCTTAGGTGGTAGATGGATGAACATTTTTCTACCTTATAGTTTTGTATTTATTTGCCAGTACATTAAAATACTTAGCTGTGGTCTCAAGCCTATGATGTGAAAAGTAATCCTTCACTGAACATAAAAGAGTAAAAAGAGTGAAATGATTTAAGGAAAACCATTTGTTAAATAACAGTAGGAAAGTTGGGAGCCAGAGGGCCTGGGTTGAACCAGCTCCGCCAGTCTCACTGGCTATGTGACCCTGCCCCCTCTCCATGCCTCAGAAAATGGGCATAATCATAGTACTGTTCCCACAGAGTCGTATGGAAATTAAATTGTTAATGAGTAGAATGTCTACGAGATTGCAAGACTGAACATCGACATCTTAGGAATCAGTGAACTAAAATGGATGGGAATGGGCCTATTTAATTCAGATGACCAATTTCTTAGAAGAAACAGAGCAGCCCTCATAGTCTACAAAAGAGCCTGAAATGCAGTACTTAGGTGCATCCTCAAAAACAATAGAATGATCTCGGTTTGTTTCAAAGGTAAACCATTCAACATCACAGTAATCCAAGTCTATGCCCCAGCCACTGATGCTGAAGAAGCTGAAGCTGACCAGTTCTATAAAGACCTACAACATCTTCCAGAACTAACACCAAAAAAAGATCTCCTTTTCAGTACAGGGGTGGAATATAAAAGTAGGAAGTCAAGAACAACCCGGACTACAAGCAAGTTTGGCCTTCTAGTACAAAATTAAGCAGGGCAAAGGCTAACAGAGTTTTGTCAAGAGAACACACTGGTCATAGGAAAATACCCTTTTCCAACAACCCAAGAGACAACTCTGTACATGGACATCACCAGATGGTCAACACCAAAATCAGATTGATTATATATTCTGTATAAACAAACATAGAAAAGCTCTATACAGTCAATAAAAACAAGACCTGGAGCTGCCTGTGGCTCAGATCATGAGCTCCTTACTGCAAAATTCAGGCTTAAATTGAAGAAAGTAGGGTAAACCACTAAGCCATTCAAGTATACCTAAATCAAATCCCTTGTGATTATACAGCAGAGGTGATGAATAGATTCAAGGGGTTAGATCTGGTAGACAGAGTGCTTAAAGGACTATGGACGGAGGTTTGTAACACTGTATAGGAGGTGGTGACCAAAACCATCCCCAAGAAAAAGAAATGTAAGAAGGCAAAATGGTTGTCTGAGGAGGCTTTACAAATAGCTGAGGAAAGAAGAGAAGCAAAAGGCAAGGGAGAAAGGGAAAGGTAAACCCAACTTAATGCAGAGTTGTAGAGAATAGCAAGGAGCGGTAAGAAGGCCTTCTTAAATGAACAATGCAAAGAAATAAGAGGGGTGGGAGGGGGGATCGGGATGGGGAATACATGTAACTCCATGGCTAATTCATGTCAATGTATGACAAAACCCACTGAAATGTTGTGAAGTAATTAGCTCCAACTAATAAAAATAAAGGGGAAAAAAAATAGTAAAAAAAAAAAAAACCACAAAGAAACAGAATGGAAAAGACTAGAGATCTCTTTAGGAAAATTGGAGATATCAAGGGAACATTTCATGCAAGAATGGGCATGATAAAGGACAGAAACTGTAAGGATCTAACAGAAGCAGACAAGATTAAGAAGAGGTGGCAAGAATACACAGAAGAACTATACAAAAAAGATCTAATGACCCCGATAACCATGATGGTTTGATCTTTCACCTAGAGCCAGATATCCTGGAGTCTGAAATTAAATGGGCCTCAGGAAGCATGACTACAAAGCCAGTGAAAATAATGGAATTCCAGGTCTGAGGAGTTATTTAAAATCTTAGAAAATAATGCTGTTCAAGTGCTGCAGTCAATACGTCAATAAATTTGGAAAACTAGGCAGTGGCCACAGGACTGGAAAAAGTCAGTTTTCATTCCAATCCCAAAGAAGGGCAATGCCAAAGAATGTTCAAACTATGTACACTTGGGCTTATTTCACATGCTAGCAAGGTTATGCTCAAAATCCTTCAAGCTAGGCTTTAGCAATATGTGAACTAAGAATTTCTAGATGTATAAGCTGAGTTTAGAAAAGGCAGAGGAATCAGAGATCAAACTGCCAACCTTTGCTGGATCATAGAGAAAGCCAGGGAATTAAAAAAAAAAAAAAGCTACTTCTGCTTCACTGACTACTACTCCTTTGACTGTGTGGATCACAACAAACTGGAAAATTCTTAAAAAGATAATACCAGACCATCTCACCTGTCTCCTGAGAAACCTGTATGTGGGTCAAGAAGCAACAATTAGAACTAGACATGGAACAACTGACTGGGTTCAAAATTGGGAAGGAAGTACAACAAGGCTGTATATTGTCACCCTAGTTATTTAACTTACATGCAGAGTACATCAAATGAAATACTGGGCTGGATGAATCACAAGCTGGAATCAAGATTGCTAGGAGAAATACCAATATCAGATATGCAGATGATACCACTATAATGGCAGAAAGTGAAGAGAAAATAAAGAGCCTCTTGATGAGGATGAAAGAGGAGAGTGAAAAAGCTGGCTTAAAACTCAACATTAAAAAAAACTAAGATCATGGCATCCGGTCCCATCACTTCTTGGCAAATAGAAGGGAAAAAAGTGGAAGCAGTGACAGATTTTATTTTCTTGAGCTCTAAAGTCACTGCAAATGGTGACTGCAGCCATGAAATTAAGACACTTGCTGCTTGGAAAGAAACCTAGACAGCACAGACATATTAAAAAGCACAGACATCACTTTGCCAACAAGTGTCCATCTAGTCAAAGCTATCGTTTTTCCAGAAGTCATGTAAGAGTTGGACTATAAAGAAGGCTGAGTGCTGAAAAATTGATGCTTTCAAATTGTGGTGCTGGAGAAGACTCTTAAAAGAGTCCCTTGGACTGCAAGGAGATCAAATCAGTCAGCCCTAAAGGAAATCAACCCTGAATTATAGGAAGGACTGATGCTGAAACTCCAATATTTTGGCCACCTGACATGAAGTGCCAACTCATTGGAAAAGACCCTGATGTTGGGAAAAAAAGAAGGCAAAAGGAGAAGAGGGCAATAGAGGATGGGATGGTTAGCATCACCGACTCAGTGGACATGAATCTGAGCAAACTCCTGCAGAGAGTGGAGGACAGAGCCTGGTGTGCTGCAGTCCATGGGGCTGCAAAGAGTCAGACATGACTTAGAGATTGAACAACAATGTGCTTGGCACAGTGCTTATTAAATAACTATGCAGCTGTGGCAGAAGTCATCAAGGCCATGTCGTGCAAGTGACCTCACTGTGGGAAACACTGTAGAAAAGGAAAGGCTTGCGAGAACCTCCCGGTAGGCCTGCGCCGGAGAAGACAGTCTGTGCCCTGTGCTCAGTGTGCTCCTGGCCAGGCCAGGAATCTCCATGTCACTGGTGGGAAGCTGACATGGGGGTGGGCTGGAGGGCACTGCAGGGGAGGGAAGCAGACCTGTGTGGGTGCGGGCATGCCGCTGGAGCTCGTCACTCCGTGTGAACCTCTTGCCACAGAAGAACCAGTTGCAGACAAAGGGCCGCTCGCCGGTGTGCAGGCGCACGTGAGCCCGCAGCAGGGACGTCTTACGGAAAGTCTTTCCGCAGTCAGGGATGTGGCACACGTGCTTCTTCTTGCCCTGCTCTCCAGATCTGGGAGGTGGGTTGACGGTAGGGTAGAGGAAAAGCAGAGAGAGCGGGAGGTAGAGATGGGGCAGGACAGGGTGGAGAGAGGACGTGGGGTCAGGCCGGAGAGCACAGGAAGGGGAGGAGGCCAGGTGGCAGGAACCGCTGCCCCATCCCCTCTCTGTGTCCCAGGGAGGGCTTGGGGAACAGGGCACATGCTGGGCTGGCCACCTGGCCAGTTGCCTCGAATTACCTCTTGTCCCCGTCCTTGCAGTTGGGACACGTGCAGGCCATGCGGCGCCGCTTCTCCCCAGGCTGGGCCTCTCCAGCCAGGGCCTGTTCCATCTGCAGCTGGATCTGCGTGGGGCTCAGCCCACTGATGGTCAGGTTGTTCCCAGAAACATTCTGCACAGTCAGCTGCTGTTGTCCTGTGGGGAGGACGCGGACATAGAGTTCAGGGTGAGGAAGCCCAAAGGGGCAGAGGAAGGAGCCTGACCCCTGTCTGCCCTCCTGCACAGGGTGAGGTTGAGAGTCATAGTGGCTAACAGTTTTCAGCCTGCTATGTGCCAGATACCATTTTAGAGATCTTAAATGTATTTAACGCATTTAAGCTTCATAAGCCCATGAAATAGGTACTGTCGTCCCCCTTTTACAGATGAAGAAACTGAGGCTCACAGTCACACAGTCAGAGCTTGTAGAACTTGGATCTGAACCCAGGTCGTCAACTTCAGAGTCAATGACCAGAACCACTATGTGGTTTAGCCTGCCCACAGGCTAAAGTCACTTCCAGACACTGCCCATTTGGGTCTTATCTTGAAATGCTTTCCCAGAATCTCCTCCAGCTTTAGGTCCTTGTGAGACACCAACTCTGCTCCCAGAAAAGCATCCAGGAATTATTATTCATAGAGGGAGAGACAGTGCTTTGCGCTCCAGAATAAATCAAGTCCCCTGGGACCTGCACAAAGCCATCAAAGCAGGGGAGTGCCTGCAGGCGGACTCCTCCCAGCTGCTAAACCAAAGGCGTAAAGTGCCTGAAATTCATTTAAGGATGAAGAGAGGAGATTCAGACAGATTCCACTCTGAAAAGTGCCCTTCACCCAGCTAAGGAATGCAATGCACCATTTTTGCTCGGTAACTACTGTTTGATTATCTGCAAGGTGGTTTTCATACTGAAGATATTACTAAATATTTTGCCACCGAACTGAGTGCCATACAAGCCAGTCTTGCTGCCAAACGTTCCCTTCTCTTCTATCAACCATAAGTCAAGACTTTCTTCAAGAAGCCTTCCTTCAAGTACCTTTACCCAGAGCCTCCCTTGAACATGTCTTTGGTCTGCACCAAACTATTTTGTATGCATATGTTAGTTGGAAAGTTTTCCTGAGTGTATCTTATGCTCTCCATCATATTCAAGGTCTGTAGCTGTCAGGAAGGGCCAATGTGTGTCTTAAACTATCTTACAAAGCTGCTGCAAGGACCAAGGGAACATGCTTTTAAGCTGGAAGGGACCAGGCAAACGTCAGGCCTGTCAGGCAGCACAAGCACGCTGCCCACACCCCGGCCCAGGGGACTTCCCTCACCGCCAGTGTTGGTGATTGTGACGGGCACGCCCTGGACCTGGACACCGTTGATGTTGATGGTCTGCATGGCCTGGGCCGCTGCTGCCAGCTGTGCTGCGTTCAGGCTGATGATGCTCCCAGCAGGAGCAATCTTTGGCAGGGGTCGCTCTTTCCGGAGAATTGCAGCCGAGTGCTTTTTGCTGGTCCCACTCAGATGGGCAGCACGGGACGCGGGGCTACTACACGTGGTGGTGGAGGCAGTCGCAGCTGTTGCCGGCGGGCTGTCCTGGACAAGGACCGTCTGTACCTCACCAGAAGGCGTACGGATATAGACCTGGGAGGGGCCAGAGAGAAAAAGTCAGTGCCCCCTGAGAGTCCTGGCGCCTGCCACCTTTCAATGCAACGCCATCTCCCTGCCCCAAGGAAGAAACGGGGACCTCTTTGTCCACTCAAGTCTTCTCCAACTAGCCCAGACCTACATTTGCCCGCTGCTGATGCCCAACAAACAGGGCTGATGGCATCCCTGTACTAAGCTGACAGATGTTATCTGCTGATTTGAAACAAAACAGTTTACTTAGCATAGAAAAATATAATGCCAAATCTTTGAACTGAAGAATTAGAAGGCAGCTAAATGATGATCTCACAAAAGACGCACTGTGAATGCTCATTGAACAAATGAAAACAGCCTTTAGGAGATCCCTTTGCCATAAAGGAATCTCTGGGGCAAGTGGTGAGACCTGAATGGAGTCTCTGAATTAGAAGTTAGTGTGCTTCCTTGCTAGTTTTCTATGCTTGAGGGTTGTGCTGTTGTTATATAGAATGTCCTTCTTGTGTATGAGAATTACACACTTTCTATAAAATATTCGGGAGTAACAGGGGCAAGATGACAACTTATACTCAAATGATTTGTTAAAAAAAAATTCTGCTATGATTTTGATTGGAGTTATTTTTTTAATTGGGATTATTTTTTGATCCTTGGATTATTTAGGACCATATTTCTCAGTTAAAAGCAAACAAACCTCATGTTATGTATTATTTAAATATACATCTCATCCTCAATTTTCTCGTATGTGCCTGCCCCTTTTGCAAATCATTGCTATTTTCTGCATATCTGAAATTTCTGTTACTAGAACATTTTCTTTCTCACAATATAGAGCATAGGCCCACACATTTTTTCTCTACAGGGAAGATAATACATATTTTAGGCTATGCAGGTCTTGAGGTCTCTGTCTTATAGTGAATAACCATACAAATTGGCCACATGTGACCTCAGGACTGAGGACTGAGAACCTCTCTTATAGAGAGTACAGTACATTTTTAAAAACATGCCTATCCTTTGACCCACTTTTAGGAATTTAGTGATAAGATTGAAATTAGCCTAGAAGATCCATAGTTAATAGCTGGGTTTTAGATGGATAACAGACAATACCTCAGGAAAGGTACCATCATTAAAACATAACGTTGTAGTACTAAAAAACTTTCTGCACATGTATTCTTACTTCTTAGGAGGACCTGATTTTAAGCCCTACCTCCATCAGTCTCAAGACCCGGGACCTTAGAGAAGAGAGGGAGGCACCTGGAGGCTGCAGCACCTGAGCAGTATTGCCTCAGGTCTTCACCATCAAGGTAGGTCTGATAAGGGAGGCTCACACGTGCTATAACAAATTACACTGATTCACAGAAAGCCACTTGGCAGTGTGCAACATACCAGAAGGGAGGAGGCACTTGACGGCAGGCCTCAGATTTCCTCCCCAGGGTGCTTCTCCCCTGCACAACTCCCTACTGTCGTCACTCACCCTGATGCCCTGGTCCTCTCTACAGACAGCTGGGTTATAAATTCCTCCATGGCAGGAGCTGGTTTTTTATATTAAAAAAGAAATCCTTATACAATTTTAAGTGTAGCCCCTGCCACACATAACACACAGTGAGCCAGGGTGGAATAAGGGAAAAAAAATGTGGGTCTGAAATCTGAGTTGAATCCTGGCTCTTTGGGTTGAATCCAGTTATTTCTGCTCTATTAGATCTGGATATTAATAATTTCCCTGAGTTTCAGGTTCTCCACCTGCAACATGGGCCTAATCTCTGGCTTTTACTAAATTTACACAAAGTATAAATGCTGCCCTGCAGAGCCACATAAATTTGAATATTACAGCCCCCTAATAAATGTCAAAAGTAAGTTCCTGTTTAGGTCAGCATCACAGATGGATCTATCCTAAATGTTCCTGCTATAAAGCTAGGGAGGGGTGCCTCTTCTGAACTTTTGTCATTAACAATGATTAGCATTTTTCTCATTAGTTTTCTTACTTTATATCAAATGCTATGGTTCTGACTAGAATTTTTTCACTCTTACTATCATTCTGAGTACGTAGTTCTAGAATAAAAAAATAAAATTTTTGTGGCATGTGGGATCTTAGTTCCCCAACCAGGCGTTAGACCTGTGCCCCCCTGCAACGGAAGCAGAGTCCTAACCACTGGATTGCCGGGGGAAGTCCCTGAACTTACCAAAAGACTCCCCTAAAGGAAGTTTTCAAAATATAGGTATATATGCATGCTGTACCTGATTTCTAAAGATAAGCAGTATGTGGCCCTACAATCTGGCAGAAATGGGCCCTTACTACCCATCCCAAACGATCCTGACTCCCAACACTGAGGTCAGATGGGAAGATGCATCAGCATCACCTAGGCAGGCGAGCCAAGTGGAATGGAGAATCAGCTGTTTCGAGCCGAGGAGAGGGGAGCGCTGCGGAAAGGTGAGCGTGGTACCTGAGTAGGTGACGGCTCAGCAGCCTGGATCTGGAAGTTCTGGGAGGGCTTCTGGGGGACGGTGGGGAGTGTGGCGGAAGCTGCCTGCACCACCCGCAGGGCCTGCTGTGGAATCTGCACCACCTGCTGCTGCTCGGCCTTGGGGGGTACCACCTGGACCTGCTGGACCACGGCTGGCTGGCCCCCGCCGGGGCTCTGAACAATGAGCAGGTTGTTTCCAGCTTGGATAATGTTGTCCGCGGTGGTCTCGATCAGCACCGTCTCCACCTGCTCGGCCACGGCCACAGGGGGCTGGGCAGCAGGAAGACTCTTCTTCCTGGCTTTCTTGTTAGTCTTAGACAGCGGGGCAGGAGGGCTCTCCGTGAGGAGCTGAGTGGTGGCCGCGGGGTCGCTGGTGTTCACGAGGTTGTTGACAGGCAGAGTAAGGGTCACATTGCCGCCGCCACCTGTCAGCTTCACCACATTGGCCCCGCTCTGTGCCGGAGTGGTGGCTGTACTCGACTTCTGGACAGGGGCTGGCTTGATGGGGACAGGCTTGTGACTGGACGGGGACGGGGTGATGATGGCTTGGTTGGTACCAGGGATGATCTGGATCTGGTTGGTGAGACTGGGCTGCACCTGGATGGTCTGAGGACTGCTGGCCTGGATCTGAGGGACCGCCTGGTACTGGATACTGGTGTTTGATCGGGTCCCTTTGTTGACCACGGTGGGGTTCTGGATAGCGAACACCAGCTGCCCCCCAGGGTAGGACGTGCTCAGCTGTGACCCCTGAATCTGAAGTATGTTTCCTTTGGAGGACAAGATTCCAAAACTATTCTTGCCAGGGCTGAGAGGGAGAGGGGCGGGTTTGATAGGGACGAGTTTCCGTGGAGTGGGCTGGGGGGGAGCAGGAGGCGTCACTGCAGCTTCAACAGCTGGAGGGCCGATTTTGCTACATGTTGCGGCAAGCAGTGCTAAGGGAGATGGCTGGGAGTCCTGCAAAACACCAGGAGACCAAGAGTGAGACATGAGGCCTGCTGCTCAGCCGCCCCGCCCTTTAGGATCCTCTCCTCCTGGCAGGCTCCTCCCCACCTGACAAGTGGGGTGCCAGCATCCTTCCCCTGCAGTTGTCCCAGTCTCCCCATCCCCAGTGGTTTCTCCACTGAGGAATTAACAGAGAAAAGGTAGGAAGGAGCTCCCCAGAAGTACCCCTTGGCAGGGTGAACTAGCAACATGAGCTGACCTCTTACTCCCTGGGCCTAATGGTGTCAATGGGGACCTGGAGTCACCCTTAGCTTGTAGACGGAGCTGTTAGCCTCAATCCCACCCCAGCAATAAAGGATGCTTGAGTCATCAAGTGAGGAAGAACTGAGGAAGGGAAGGAGGGAAAGACAAATGGAGGGGGGCAGGAGGAATAAACCCTTTGGAAAAGTGTTTTCCAGTGCTTGGGACATGACATTTTCAAAGGGGGAGGGCTGCTCTTTCGCAGCTACATGGAAAGAGCCGCTGGGGTGCAGGGACAGTCTCTGTTTTCCTTGTATGGTCAGTGGGGTCTGGTGGAAGGACCTTGAGTTGCATCCTGCTTTCCCCCCGACTCAATTGTTGCACCTTAGATGAACTGCCTTGGTTTCTTAGGTCAGAAAAAGTGAAAACCTGAACCCTCCCTGGTCTCATAGCCTTGGGGAGTGACAGTGAGCCAGCACAGAGCTTCAGTTGTAGTTTCATGTCAGCTTCAGCAAGTCCTTCCGGGTTAATGCAGCCCCCAACCCCCAGAGCCCACTGCCCACTCGCCTGGGTGGTAGAGGCGGCAGGCTGCAGGTAGTCACTGGGACTGACAGCGGCAGTGGCAGCCATGCTGGTCTGTGGATCTGTTGGAAGAAAAGCGATGGAGTAATACCCATGATGCTTGAAAAGAACCACGTCCCCTGGCCTCAGATTTTCTTTTTGCCTCTACTTGCCGTTGCTTCCCCATGAGAGGTTGATGACCTTTCCCCACACTACCCTACTCAAGGTTAGTAACCCTACAGAGACCTCCTCTCTTTCTCAGACTTAGCCATCCAGGCTGTGAGGACAGCTGGTCGGGCCTCCACTGGGCTGTCTTCCAACCATCAAAAAGTCTAGAATAATGTAAAGATACCGAGACTACGAAAACACGGGCTTCAGTAACTAAGTGGTGCCACCTAACGGAGCCCCTATACGGTGGGCGTGGGTGTCCCCGCCCCCAGCTATTCCTGTAGCTCTGACAAGGGCTTCTGCTCACTCCTGCTGTAACCAGATGCCAAGCCAGTCTGGGAGAGGAGCATCGCTGAGCTGGGATCTCTGACAAGGAGGACACACCCACTCCATGTAAAAGTCTAGATCGCTTTATGCTCAGCCTTTACCACATGAACACAATGGCCTAGGTATCGAGCTATATATATACACAGAGAGAGAGCACGTGCGTGCACGCACATGAGTAATTACTTTAAATGAATTTATGGTTTTACACAGGATGATAGGCATGGCCCCATAGTATCACCGAGACTAGGAGAGTTAATAACTGAATGTAATGAGAATGAAATATCATAAATCCTACTTTTTCTTAAATGTGTATGTAATTCTATATATGAATGTAGCAGGAAAAAAATCTATTAAAAAAAAAAAGGCTAAAATGTTAAAAGCCATTATCTCCTAGTGGTAGATTTTTGCTTCACTTAAAGAATTTTTCCCATTTTTATGTATTTTCTCATTTTCCCCACAGTGAATATACTCTACTCTACTTTCGTTTTAAATAAAGGAAAATAAAGAACGTTGAGGAAGTAATGAAGGAATCTCTACTCTGAACTTAGGTCTGATCTAAGAGAAACTGAAGACAAGTAAAATGGAAATCAGGGGAATTTGAGACTCAAAGCCATCTTATAGTTTATAGATCACAAGGAAAAGAGCACCATGCAGAAAGTCAGACTTGTATATACCTCAGACCTTTGGAAAGCAGGTTTCAGGAAGTACAGAAACAAGAAGGGTATCACTCAGAGACGGGAAGAGGCAGAACGGCTCAGGCATTGAGACCCTGGAACCACTCATAGTTTGGCTGGTCTCTGGCTTCTCTTTGGGAGAATGATTCTTAAATGGGAAAAGGTCAAGAAAAGGTAAAGTGGGAACTGCAGCCCAGGACAGGTTAGTAAGCAGGCTCGTCAATGCCTTAAACGGTTTCCAGGCCCCGAGGCCACGTGAGCCGCACTCCACAGTAGGCAGAGACTTTGCAGCAAACTGCGTGAGGAGCCAGAGGGCAGCTCTGGGCAGATCGCACAGGTGGATCCTGAAATATCACAGGTGCTGATCCTCAGAAAAATCCTAAAACAAATAGCTGAACAGCGCTACAATTACTCAGGTAAGGAAGGCAGTGATCTCAAGGAATAAGCATGGGGTTGCTAAAACCAAGTCATGCTGGACAAACCTGTTTCTTTTTTATGGGGCTTTGGATGGCTACACTGAGAGAATAGTACACAAAAGCTCACTGTGTATCAACAGGGCATTTGACTGAAATGGTCACAGTATTCTTATGAACAAGAAGGGAAAGAACTACACGCAGGATGATAGTCTAGTTTGGGGGCTAAGCTGAACATGCCTCCACCTAAGTGCTGAGATCCAGTCTGTCCTGAGCAGGGTGCTGCTGTGAGGTCAACCAGGGTCTCCTGCTAGAGGTGGGTCTCCTGACCGGGTCGGCAGGGTTCCCCTCGGAGGCGCATGCTTTCTCTAGCAGAATGTTTTTGTTTTTTGTTTTTTTTTTAGCAGAATGTTTTATTCTTGTGTTTTCACTGCGATGATCATCTTCTAAAGATGAACATACACTGGGACTTCCCTGATGGTAAAGTGGTTAAGATTTCGCAGTTCCACTGCAGAGGGCATGAGTCTGACCTCTAGTCAAGGCTAGGATCACGCATTGACTCGTGAAGCAGCCAAAAAAGAACATGTAACTACAGATGACTGGGTAACTGCTGCTTCACCAAGATTTTCACATTTCTGGGCCTCTGTGAGTGTGTACAACTGTATTGGTACCAAGTGGCACCACTCTAACTACATGGGCTTAAGACAACTTAATTCTGCACATTTAATTCATGGCACATTTGTGCAAAGTGAGGGATGATGACTCTTCAGAAGCCTGGGAGGACCACGCTGCTGGACAATAGACGCTGCAGGGTGGGTGTGCAGAACTTCAAGGAGCCAGGGTGTCAGATCTGTGCTGAACGTATACTGATAGCAGCGATTTAGGTTCAGTCAACTCTTCCCCCCACCAAATGATGCTGTTGATTATACTGGCTTTTCTTTAGTTAATTAATTTTATAGGAACTACATCTATGAACTGATAAACAGATTGAGGTGTATACATAATTAAGTTGCAGCCTTACAGTGGAAATAACCTAAGTTGACTGAAAAAACATCTTCCCTTTAGAATAGTGTTCAAACTATTTAGACTATGAACCACAATCATAAAAACAATTTACATCAAGACCCAGTATATGTGCATACACCCCCACATACTTCCCTGTCCTGTGCTCATGCAAGAAGAATTTCCTGAAATAAAATTTGCCCTTGCTACATGTGATCGGCTTTGATATTTTTCTACCCTATTTCATTTTTTTTAATGCCAGTTGTGACTCACTAAATTGGTTTTGTGCCCTACAGGCTGGAAACATGGCTTCAAAGCAGTCTATCCACCACCCAAGTTAGGGAAACCATGCAAAGACCTAGAAGGCAAATTAACTTTATGAATGTCACAAAACTGAGGATTGTAAACACAATGGGTGTCTGTACTAGGGTTCAAAGAGAACTTAAAAAAACCAGTATGTGCAGTGCTTAAGAGCATGAGGCTCCAGACCAAAATGAGCATTCATACTGTGGGACAGCTGGGGCATTCCTCTCCTAGCCTCAGAGCACCACCTGTAAAACAGAGGTAATGTCATCCACGATTCTAGGAGGCGTCAGTAATGAACAATATTGAGCATAGAGTGGGTAATCAATAAATGGTGGTTTAAACTTTGAAGCTGAATAAACACTGCATTTGAGTTAAGAAGAAAAAAAAAATCACATGCATATAGGACAGGAAGACAGAGCTTAATCGTGTTTCTCATGTGAAAAAGCCCCAGTGGTTTTGACTCAAAGTTAAATGGGAAGCAATAGAACCTAGATGTGGTTGCCAAAAAAGCTACTGCAATCTTGGACTGCATTTCCAAAAGTTCAGTCACAGAAGAAAATAATAGTGCTCGTCTGCTCTGTACAGGGCCCCGCCTGGAGTGTCAGGTTCCATCCTGAGGGATGTTTTGAAAGAGGGACTTTCAAGTGGAGCTTGAGGGCAGCTGTGGTAGTGACCAGGACACCAGAGCAGCAGTATCCACCAGGACATTTATTCCACATGTGTACTGCATGAGAAGAACCAAGACTGTGGGGTGGAAATTTCAGTTTACTAGAGAGGAGAACTTTCAAATGATGGGATCAGTTGCCTCCTGAGGTAATGTTCTCCCTTCTCTGGAGTCATTTAGCCAGAGGCGGGGTGTGTGTCCCTCTGGTGGGGTGGGAAGGTGGATGAAATGATCTGATCTGAGAATTTAAATTTTTTAATAATCCTCAAAACTCACTGCCGATAAAAACACAGAATGAGTTAGTTGCTGGCAGGGCTGGGAAGGGCAGGCAGGGGCTCTTCCAGGAGGCTCCCCTGGGCTCAGGTTCACTTAGCTAAAAATGGTGAATGACTCTCCCTCTGACATCCCCTGTTATGAAACAGGAGGACACCAGAAAAGGATAAAGTGCAAACAAAATGAAAACTGGCCCGGCGTTTATTCACCTCCCTTTCCCATCTCTCTCCCTCTGTGGTTATTAGCACCCTGGACTCAAAGTGTCTAGAGATTTGGCTGGGCTGAGTGGCTTTTCAGTTAGGAAGTTACAGCAGAGTCCTGATGCCAGCGCAGGCTGAGAGTGTTCCCCCTGCACCATCTTGGTTGGTTTCATTTTCCTCCCTGCCCAGCCCCTGAAATATTCCTCTAGATCTCAAACCACTGGTCTCTCTCCTAGAGTCTCACAGAGCTTTGTGGCTCCCAGGCTGTGGAGCTGGGCAACCAAAATGGAGACTCATCTCCTTGCCCCTGCAGAATGACATCCTGGGATTACCCATGAAAGGGGAAAGACACATTTCCAGTTGGTATTTGGAAATGAACAGTGATTATGAAGTGGTACAGATGCATAACTGCAGGACTAGAGTCAAAGGTACTTTAGAACCTCATTAATTTGGAACCTTATGTCTAAAATGTGTAATCTGGACATAAATTGTGCTTAACTTTCCCTTCATACTTTGAAAGCTAGGCTAACGAGTGTATGAAGCCTGCAAAGGGACTCTTAAGGCACGAGTGTATGAAGCCTGCAAAGGGACTCTTAAGGCACGGTTAGGAAACTGTTTCACACCACTGCCACTTTCAATTGCACCATTTGCTTTAAACAGCAGTTTACAGCTGTTCACTGAAACCTACTTTAGCAACATTGGTAAGTGACACTGTTGCATATTCTTGGAGGAAAAGGCTGCATTTCCTTCAGAGTGCTATCATTCAGACTTTCATTAATTTGGGTTGGCTAAAACTTTCCCACAAGTTCCCTGGCTCATGAAGTTTTCTGGTGATTTGCTATACCAGCAATTGCAGCTCTTTTAGGCCTCAAGGAAAATTTCCAAGGCTGTCACAAAAGGCTTCCAGGCAGGGGTTGGGGGGTGTTCAGTGCCTGACCGGTCCACCCTTGATTTTCCTTTTCCCTATAGTGGAAGCCAACTTAATTCCAATTTAAAACCGGGAGTGTCCCAGATCTGGATAAACATACGATGGTTCATCTCCACCTCCATCCCTCC